TCCCTTTAGAGCGCGCAATCGAGTACGGCGAGCGCGACACGCCGCTCGGGGAGAAGATACCAGACCCCTGCGGTACGTATAAAGAAGAAGTACATGTTGAATATGTGTAGACAGTTGGGGAGCTATTACATGCTCAAATAAATCAGGAAGAGGAAGCCGGAAGCCGGATATATTATGAGTATACGAGTGATCAGCGCTCCTACATAGAAACACCATGGAAGTTTCCGGTGGAGATCTCCGGAGAAATCTAGACAACTGCAACATTTTTTAACAGACATTTTCCGTATAACCCAACATTGTACCCTCTCCATCCAGGTCTAAGCCACGACTTCCACCCTTGGAAGACTTGAGGACTTGCGAACCACCTGATAGCTCGTACGGGAAGTTTAAGAGTTCTTAAAGCGATTTGACGCAAGCAATGACGTAAGTGCCCGTAAAGCCGCCGCGGCTTAGAAAAGATGTGTTCTGAACGCAGCAACTGTCAAACAAAGGGCATCGGTTACGGAATCGCTCGGACACCGTGAACTGGTCGGTTCGAATTACTACACTAGAATGCGCCACACATCCGACTTTCATTGGAAATGGTAATGGTTGTGGGCGATTCAGCCTATAGAATGACTTGCCAACTGATGTAGAAATTTTCTTTTCATCCTGCTGTGAGAATATGGCTACGGTCAGCTTAGTGTAGAATTAGGGAAGAGATGGTCGGCTTGCAGATCAGGTATCCTTAGACGATGGTTTTGGAACCAACCCAATTTACCCCTGTTGCTCATCACTGCAGAAAATCCTGAGCATTAATCCATTTCAACATTAGACGCCACTTGCTCCTCCAGCAGCTGTGGCAGCAAGAAACATTCCGAAACAAAAATATCGACCTAATACCTTTCCCATTTACCAGTAAAAAAAAGATATATGGTTCCAGTAATGTTTTGCTCTAATCGCTAACCTAAAAAGTAGACAGCGTTATGAGAATTGACATACTTCTTTCGAGTCACGCCATGCAATTATTTTTTTTTCTTTCTGTTTCCTGGACAGGATACTCATGGAGCGCAGGAAACCCTCAACTACTCACGTAACTTAACCAAGAGTTCTCTGCTCTCTTGCAGGAACCGATGCCGATTTGTCAGTCAACCATATCTTCCTTTATCGTACACTAAGCTAACCGTAATCGTATTCACCCTGGAGAATGAAGGCAAAGACTTCTACGTCAGCTGGCTCTTACATGTCTTTCTATAGGCTAAAGTGCCTTCAAGTTCCATTTCATTTTTCAATGGAAGCCAGATGTGTGGCGCATTTTGGGGCGATAAGTCGGTAACGACCACTTTACGGTAACCGAGCGATTCTGAAACCGATGCCCTCTGTTTGTCAATCGGTTAAATTCAGGACACATCTCATGGTGCTCTTATATTACTGCAACCGGAACCTGCCGCGAGGAAAAAGTTGGACAGACTCATCCAGATGTTGTCAAAAGTGTTAAACACATGGTAAACAAAACGTGACAACAACACTAATAAACACTCTTGGGAAACCACATCCTTGGCATGATTTTCTCCCATTAGGGCTCAGTAAGTAGCATAACATGTTTGTGATACTGGTTGTTCTTACGCTACACTGAGAAAGTGCACACTTCATTGGAGTAACGGATAATTTGAAATACAAAATGTGAACCTCCCTTTCTTTCTTTCTTCCATGTCCTTGCTCTTTTTGGTTTCTCCAACATAAAAACTTCGTTAATGTGGTGGAGTGATAACCGTCAGAGAATGGGTGAACCTTTTTGAAATGCCCCATGACCATGAGGAGAATTTGACTGGGCTTCCGGAACCAACTTGACGCTTTCTCAGTCATCACCCTGAACATGGGCAGCTGCGCTATGAGAGGAATTTATTCCCTCGGGGTGTTTTTTTCATGATGACAGCTCCGTCGCCTGCCTCCCACTTCTTTTGCCTTTTGAAGCCACAAGCGGTTGATGGGAGA